GTAAAGGTGCCCATACACTGCCCGATTCTCGTACGAGAATCGTGGGAAATCGTACGAGAATCGTGCAGTGTGAATGAAGACGTGCAACCGTTTCTACTGTACGGTCGCACGTCTTTTGTCTAAGGTGCATGCTAGAAAACCAGCCGAGAATCTTACGATTTTCGGCTGGTTTGAACGGTGCTCGGGAGACAAATGCCGAACAGGCCAGTGTGCGCACACGCACACTGCCCATTCAGCATTGCAGTCATCGGAAGCCCGCCCCTCGGGGGGGCGGTCTTGCGATGATCGCAAGTACGATCTGCCTGTCCAAGATTTTTTAAATTACTTTACAACCATCGCAAGACTAAGGTCTTGCGATGGTTGTAAAGTGTATGGCCACCTTTAGGCTGCATTCACACCTAGGTGTCAGCATTTTTGTGTGCGGTTTTACCTAGCGTACATTGCTAGTTTTTTGCGCATTTGTTGCACATTTTAATGTGCGTTAGACGCGAACATAAGAACATGCACGTCTTGACTAGCAGATCAGACATTGCGGTCAATGGGGTATGTGCATTTTTCTGGTTTTTCCATTGCAGTCTATGGGACCAAATGCACGCAAAAACGCCCCAAACTTCAGGAACTTTTTTGAGTGACAGGTGTGAATGGGGCCTTGGGAAAATTTCTCCCCAGAGAACTTCTTTTACCAGACCACACTGGATCAACGCAGGTCACTGCAAGGACACAGAAAACAATTTTTTCCCTTGTGTCCCATTAACACCACAGCGATCGGTGCGCTGCACTTGAATGCAAACTTGCTACATTTTATCGCGGCACACTGCATGCCATCGCTCTTGTGCAGGGACCTGAACGGAGTGCACACATTGTACACTTCACATAAAATGTTTAAAAAGACAAAAATTAAACAGTGACAGCTCCAGCCAAGGCACACTGTCCGAGCAGCCACAACATACAAACCTGCGTTTTAGTGGATGGGCTAGTGTGAATGGGTCCTAAGGGATGACCTCACTGACCACTTGTGAGATGTGAAAGGACCAGGTCCAAACTCTCAATAGCAGAAGCTGATTCAAATTTGCAATATACAGCGTGCTTCAAGTGACTCTGTCATGAGAGTATGGCGGCTGCTATTGCAGACTTCCTGCTGAAGATGCTAGATGCCTGGCTCTGTCTGACATCAGTGTGTATTAGTCACAGTCCCTGAACAAGCATGTTGTAGATAAGTGTCAGAACCACTTGTCTCGATACTTGTTCCAGGTCAGCGACTCACTGAATTCAAAGAATCAGAATGATAGCCACTGAAATAGCATTGTCAAAGGAGAGTTCAGTAATGGCAGCCTCCATTCATTTCTCATGTCCTTGTCCCTCTAACCTCTCATTTACTAAGCAGAATTCCTGTGTCAGAAAGTATTGCAGCCATTTTCCATCCACAGTACACTAGTTTTAGGACAACTCCTCAGTAAATAGGTTTAGCATTACTGCTCCACAATTAGTATACCGTCGGGTAATGACCATTTCCATCAGAGCCTTCTCATGCAGATGACTTACAAAACAGGTCACGGCCTTCATTTTTGATGTACTACATAAACACTGCTATGTCTGACATTCATATCAAAACACACCTAATTAAAGCAGGAACAACCTGAATCTTCTGGGCCTATTAACTATGTTATTCATATATGAGAAGTGTGCTGGGATAGGTCTGTGTTTCGTAATATGCATATGATACACTATTCAACCTTGTTAATTATAGCACTGCATAAATAGGAGTCTGTTTGTGATCTACTACATTGGCCTTTCTAATCTTATGACTCCGAACTGGCTAGAAGGAAATGAACAAAGTACCTGTTACCTAGTGAAAAAGTAAACATATTTTCTGGTTTGGTAGAATGTTTCAAGTCTGGTGCATTTCAGGAAGAGTAGCAAGGCTGAGCAGACCATACTGGCTACTTACTGGACACTATTATCACACTCGATCTTGAGCTCCACCAGCACACACCCTGCTTCTCTTGCCCTATAACCCCAACAGCTTAATGCATGACTCTTCTCTCCAAACCTCTGAACAATGTGAAAGAGATGAGTAATGCTTATAATTGGGTACTGTGTGCGACAGCAGAAGCCTAAAAGTGCATCAGAATTGTTCATTATCACACAGTTTTCAACTTATGGAATATGGGGAAGAACCTAAACACTCCTTCCTCAGCTCCTAAAGCTGGCCATACACCAATAGATTATCTGCAGATTTTCTATGGTCAGATGGAAAAAGTGCAACAGATTCCTCCATCTACACTAAACGGTGTGGATGGAGGAATCTCCCACTGGGCCAAACTTTAGTATCTTGCTAGTCGGCCCCGATGGCTGTCAAAATACCTGAACAATGTGATTGGATGCAGGAATTGTTCAGGTGTTTCGAGAGCCTGCAGGGCTGACTAGCAAGATCCTGAAGCTTGGCCCAGTGGGAGATTCCTCCATCCACACAGTTTAGCATATATGGAGGAATCTGTTGCACTTTTTCTATCTGACCATAGAAAATCTATAGGTGTATGGCCAGCTTAAGGAAAATTCCATCCTCTTCTTGCCAAGGCAATGCAGAAGTCCTGCTTGTAGAATTTTTCCTTCACCTAACTGGGTCCTGCAGCTAATCCTTGGTAAAATAAAAGTGCTGATTTAAACATCTCACTGATCAGCTGGTGACAAACTAATAGATCAAGGGTACAGGGGCCCTAGTCACCATAATTTCTCTGATAAACATGAAGGGAAAAATAAACACCATGAAAAGGGCAATCCTGTCCCAAAACAGGAGCGACCTCACCCCTAAGGGCCTGTTCACACGACGTCCGTTTTCTGTGCTGACCTGATCCGTACGCTCCTGCACTAAAAATGCATCCCAATGTATCCCTATGTGTTTTATGGGCTCCAGTTCTCACGTGCGCAGTCCGTTCAGCTTACGACAGAAAAAATACTGCATGTCACATTTTGTCCGGTCAGGAAATGCAAAACGCGTAAAAAATGCACTGCAGCTAACATACTGACAGCCCCACTACAGCATCAAACTGGATGCATTTAACTGTAACGCATCAAAAACACGGTCAAAACACACTGGATCAGTAGCACCGCGTCTGCATCTGAAACGCAGACTTCTTATCCCCCCAGGCTTGCTCACATTTTTTCATTTGGTGCGGATGTGCATGGCTTCGTCCACACAGCCGCACCATTCATTCACAGATCATGATCTGTGAATAGAGAAACTGCAAGTCCCATCAGCAGAACAGAGATTACAAGTCTCATCTACAGACACAGATAGGAGGAAGAGCCTGCAGCAGCCAGAACATTGCACCCACAATCCACTGATTATGTTTGCAATTCTTTACTGGCTCCAATACCAAAAAATTAACCTCTTGCCGTCCGCTCGTTGAGAAAAAATGGACGGACAGCAGACTCACATATGCGGCTGCCGTTATCAGATGGCTTTTTTTTTTCTGCGCACGAACGTGCAGAAAAAACACGCCCGTTCTTTACAGCAGTTACCGGCTGTTTGATATACTGTACATATGATCGGTGGCTCTATAGCCTACCGATCGTATGTATATGCTGTCTTTGCGGGCCCCCCCCACCTTCAATCCCGGGATCCGCTAGCCCATCTGCGGCCCGGGAGGGTGTCAGGAGGAAGATCAGCATATTCCTCCTTGCTGAATTCCCTCTGAGGTCTGAATGCAGAAGTGATATGTATTACATCACTTCCGCATTCACCTGTCAGTCATCTGGCTGCTATAGCCAGAGAGAAGAAGCTGATGAAGCACAGCTTCTTTTGGGGTCCCCAGGTGACATTAGGGGTCTTGGAGACCCCTAATGTCTCCATAAAGAGGACCTGTCAGTGTACCTTTGCTATCACATAGGGAGATTGCTATCCCCCTATGTGATAGCAATAACAATAAGTGTAAAAAAAAACATTAAAAAAAAGTCACATATAAAAAAGTTTAAAAAAAACTTCCCAAACTTTGAAGTCCCCCACCCCCCCATTTACGCACATATAAATGTAAATATGCGTTCGATGTGCCAGCGTGCGAAAATTATAATTGTGCTACACGTTACATATCGTCGTGAACGTGATGGTGAGAGCAATAATTTTAGGGCCATCAATCACTGATAACACTAAACTGATGAGCAGTAAAAGCTTTTTAAAGTGTCGCCTATGGCCAATTTTGGATATTGTAGTTTTTTTTAGGTTTCGCGCATACGCGCAATTTTAAGGCTTGACATGTTTCGTGTCTATTTACCCTACGTGACCCCGTCTTTTATATTTTACCAACAAACTAGGTAATAATAAATGTTATATCATTTAATATAGGGGAAAGGTTTTTTTTTTTTGGTCATTTTTCCCTAATATAGTAAAAAATTATAATCATAATTAAAAAGTGGTGATTAAATACCACCAAAAGAAAGCCCTATCTGTCCCTAAAAAATGGCATAAAATTAATTTCAGTACAGCATTGCATGACGGAATAAATGTCAAAGTACTGCAGCGCTGAATACTGAAAAATTGCCTGGACAGGAAGGGGGTTTAACACCACAGACTTCAAGTGGTTAATAAATGCACATTTTTTTTCTTTTATGAAGAAGTGTGCATCTGCTTAGAAAGGTGCAGATTCCCTTTAAGCGAGAGAGCGAACAGTTGCCATTAACAATAAGAATGTTCTTTCTTCGCTCGCCCTCCCGAGTAAAGATTTCTCCGATGACCATGGTGTATAGGTTCCCCTCCACAGGCAGATTAGACAAGAAATCGCAGCTACTACAAATGACTGGTCGGCACTTCCAGCCACGTGTGATAAACGCAATCCCTGTAAATTACACTTGAACACTCTACTTCCTGTAAGGGCGCTTAGTGTGACGTCAGCCCTTGGCCACGCCTCTATACCCGAGGCTCCAATCAGACGTGCGGTAGAAGGGGATGAGGATGTGGAAGGGATCGTAGTGCTTGGTATTACGAGTCCGGGTATGTGTGGTGGCCGGGAGATCGCAATGTGAGAGCTGACACAAGGTAAGCCGAGGAAGACATAGGGGGTATTGTCCTAGATATTGTGATGTGGAGGTGTCCACCTAGAGGAGGAGGGGTCCCCGGCTGACTGCCACCTATCCTCTGACATACGCACGGCTGCCGGGCTCTCATTAGTAGTGTCTTTGACCTAAAAAATGGCATAAAATTAATTTCAGTACAGCATTGCATGACGGAATAAATGTCAAAGTACTGCAGCGCTGAATACTGAAAAATTGCCTGGACAGGAAGGGGGTTTAACACCACAGACTTCAAGTGGTTAATAAATGCACATTTTTTTTCTTTTATGAAGAAGTGTGCATCTGCTTAGAAAGGTGCAGATTCCCTTTAAGCGAGAGAGCGAACAGTTGCCATTAACAATAAGAATGTTCTTTCTTCGCTCGCCCTCCCGAGTAAAGATTTCTCCGATGACCATGGTGTATAGGTTCCCCTCCACAGGCAGATTAGACAAGAAATCGCAGCTACTACAAATGACTGGTCGGCACTTCCAGCCACGTGTGATAAACGCAATCCCTGTAAATTACACTTGAACACTCTACTTCCTGTAAGGGCGCTTAGTGTGACGTCAGCCCTTGGCCACGCCTCTATACCCGAGGCTCCAATCAGACGTGCGGTAGAAGGGGATGAGGATGTGGAAGGGATCGTAGTGCTTGGTATTACGAGTCCGGGTATGTGTGGTGGCCGGGAGATCGCAATGTGAGAGCTGACACAAGGTAAGCCGAGGAAGACATAGGGGGTATTGTCCTAGATATTGTGATGTGGAGGTGTCCACCTAGAGGAGGAGGGGTCCCCGGCTGACTGCCACCTATCCTCTGACATACGCACGGCTGCCGGGCTCTCATTAGTAGTGTCTTTGTGATGGGCATACAATGTGAGATGGTGCTAGTGATCAGATCTTGTATTTGTGTATGTGTGTGTGTGTGTGTGTGTGTGTGTGTGTATATATATATATATA